TCGGCGTCCCTAGCTGCTGTCCAGTCATTTTGGGTGACCTCCTATGGCTGTCTTGCTGTCCAGAATGTTCCCCATCGCCATCTTGAAGGCTCCATAACCTAAAGTTGATGTCCACTCTTCCTCAAACGCATAAGCGACTACACCGGAGCGCCGTATTTGTCGTTCCCTTGGATAACTTCTTTCTTTGGGTAAACTCTCCCTCCAATTCTCATGTCTTCTTAGCTTACTTCTTGATTGTGGTTTTTATAATATTCACGAAGATAATGTTAATACTTCTCCGCTAAAACCTAGTAATTGGAAGAGTTATGTGAGGGATCTTTCATAGAACTAATCTTATTGTTAGCATTGGAATTTCTCGTTGAAACCACTCATGTATGCAAAGTAAGATTTAGTTGACTATTTAATGATCTCAACCTCTCGCATGTGTTTAGACCAAAGCTATTTTATCACCTTAATGTTATCTTATCGTTTACATCAATAGAGGATTTTGCTTAATATTGCTCTCTAAAATTTACAAGTGCAAACTTCCTTAAGCAAGTCATTTTCGCATGAATTGTTTCACACCAACATATGAACTTAAATTTTACCTTTATGCATCTTCTTTAGAACTAACTCGACTAATTTTGCTTGTATCAATCTAGAATATACCTTTATAGTTTGTTTATTATATTTTTCTAAAACAATCTCGCCATATCATATTGTTAGTTTAAATTATTAATGCTTCACAAGGTTTTGAATTATAGGAAAATGAAAATGAAAACATTAAAACTAAAAGACTGGAGTAAGAAACCTTAATAGGCATTTTCTCTTTAGAGACGAAGACCTTAGGGAGATCAGACCTAGCATGATCAGAACTCCTTTGTAAAGAACGGGAAACAATTTTGTTCTGTGAAGCCTGTCCAGCGTCAGTTTCAGGTTGCAAATCTTCTTTCTTGACAGAAAAAGAAAAAGATAGATTGTCCCTTATCTCTAACTCAGCTGGTACACGAACAAGATCTTTAGAAGTCGCATCAGCAGCTATATTTTCTAAAAGACTACCTATCACAAATTTCACCGAGACTTCACTTTGCTCTTCAGTTGTATCACTAGTTTCATTACCACCAACCATCTCAACTTCTTCAATGTCACTTTCTGATTTAATATATTCTTCAGCAGAATCTTGTATATCTCCATCGCTGTCTTCATCTTCCTCTATTATCTGTTCAATAACTTTAGAAATAAGATCTCCATCAACCTTCCCTGGTGCTACCACTTTTAAGACTTTGACCTTGACACCAGGGATAACATCCTGCAAAATGTTTTTGATGCCTGACAGCCCAATCCAATCAGAATTATCATCAACTTCTTCAATGGTTTTAACATCTTCAGAAGATATATCAGTAGGTTCTTCAGTTGAGCCATTACTTTCACTTAAACTCTGAGTTGACCTGTTTGAGGACTTCTTTGATATGTTTGCAGTATGCCCCCTGTTTCGCTTCAGATAGACTGCCTGAAATGCATAACCTCAGATCAATCAGTATAGAAGTCTATAATACAACTAGCCACTCATAGCAATGAATCCATCTCAGTGCTTCTCAGGATGTCAATAGTTTAAGAAAAATTATATGACATTAAACTATAATTTCTCTTTTTTGCAGACATGATGGTGTTCGGAAATAAAAATTTCCATGGCCTCCCAATTGCTAAGAAATTTAGATAGCATAACAATCTTCATGCTTCCATTAAGTCTGCAAAGAACTTAATCAAACTTGATAGTTATGAATAGTACATGCTCCGTATCAATGCAGTTTATATGCCACAGAACTGAAAATAATAAAAAATAAAAACCAACATATTTCTCGAGAAAATACCTGCTGCTTGTAGCCTTCATCATCACAAGTGAAATAAATTTCGAATAATGGAGAACCAGGTTGAGACATAGCAAGTTGCCTGAAAACATGGTGACAAACATAAGAACAGCAAAGGTCAAAGAACTTGCGCTAAGCAAAATATAAAAGGAAGAGAAAGCTAGCAGTTTTTCCAAACCTGATTTATACATCAAAAATTAACTGGCTAAAATAAGTTGTAAGAAAATGGATTTCCTATAACATAAAGGAAAATCCATCCTGGCATGACAATGGGATTAAAAAAGCTCCATAGATAATACTCATCTGGCATCCATACAAAGGACAGTCCACAATGGTAGCACAAAGACACGGCAGAGAAATGTGCACAATAAAGTATACATCCTAATACAGACCCTGAAGTAAGCTTTTTTCTTTGCACCCATCAATGTTAGAAAGTTGTAGCACTGTTCACTGATAAGCTATAGAAGAACGAAAACATTTCAAAAGAATAGTTGTCGGCTCCCATTGCTAAAATCCATTATACCAACGCCATTCCCTTGGTCCAAAATGATCACAGTATATCCATCCGTTAAGCATACCATTGGTTGAGCTCACCAAACCACAGTGAAGCAATTAAGGAATGATAGCAGGGGTGCAAATCTAGTCAACTCCACTTGGTTCTACTCAGATCATGGAAGTCAGTTTCAACTTTTCTGGAATGAATCAGCTGGACCCAAGTATTCAACAAGCAAAAGTCATTGGTTAAGGTCAATTCCACTTCTTTAGTCTCGCAGGTGGGTCATGGCTCATGTGCTCACAATAGAGTGGAGAGGGAATGGAACAGAGTGGGAAACAATGAGGAGAAGGCGGTGGCAACAGCATTTGCTGAAGGTGAATAAAGAGAGAAAAACTGACAGGATCCTAGATCCAATCTGGAAATTTCGGGCAGCTCAAACCTCAAAATGTTGAGAAAGAATAGAAGAAGTGATGAAAGGAGGAACTCCGTTTATTTTCCAACTATCATCCTCCCTAATAAAGAGTATTTATAGAATACAAAGCAAACTCATACTAACTACAACTAACAAGCTAAACATCCTCATTAACAAGAATTGTTTCCTCCAAAATCTCTCTATCAAACTCACAGCATTACCACCCCCCAAAATAAAGATCTTGCCCTCAAGGTCGAACTAAGAACCACAAAGTAACTTCAGGTAAGAAAATGCAAGCGAGGCTGCTAGCAGCTGGTTGTCATCCATATACCCATACCTTCTCAAGTCAATCCAATGGAGATTCCATGGAGAAAGTTTGATGTGAAACTACGAGGAGTTTGCTTAGAAATTTAAAAGAAAAGATTAAAGTGTTGCTTCTTATGAATTTAAAACTAGCACATAAAATTGAGTTAGGAATTTGAAAATATCAACTTGCTTAGGCTAAAGATTCGCAATAGAGATTAACCAAGCCGATTCAATCCAAGTTCTAGGAGAATTTAATATGCAAAGTACAATAACAAAACCCAACGTTTAACAATGAGAATTTCACCTTGGGGCCGTATCACTCAAGAGGTAGTGGACTTTTGGCGGAGATAGAAGATCCAAGCGATGAAAGAAGTTACCACTAGGGAGAGGGCGCCGAGGAACTTCGTCGGAGGAAAAGTCGCCGGTTGGGATGGAAGTCGTAGACGACCGTCGAGGCTCCAAGCGTGCTTTGAAAGTTTTCGGTCGTAGATGCTTGCAAGGATTGGCACGACTCTCTCCAAGTACTCCTCCACGGTAGTTTCGTCTTCAAACCCCACGTCAAAACATGGCGAACGTAGGACGTTGATACTTCCGTCGGCGTTGAATACAAGGCCCCACTCAAACTCCGGATCCGCCATTCACCATGGAAGAGAATGGGAGAGGGGCCGTCCACGTTATCCCTAGGCTTCTCAACGTAAGAGAGAAGGAGAGAGAAGGGAGGGGGGGTCGGCGGGATCCTCAAGGGGGAAGATGGAGCCGGCGGGTGCAAGGAGGAAGAGGGGAGAAAACGGCTAGGCTTGGATTGGCAAGGGATTTACTCAAACCTGAAATTGATTTCAGGTTTTAGTAAATTAGGAGGGAGTTATTTGAAATTCTATTCAAATTTCAAATCTTAATTAAGGGGAATTAATGAGTCATTAAGGGGGTCTTCAATGGGGTGGGCCAGCGGTATGCTTGGGGTGGATGAGGGGATTTGAAAACCTAAAACTGAAATTTAATTTCAGTTTTAAGTAAATAGGGAGGGAAAACTTAGGGATTCAAATTAGGATTTCAAATGGCCCAAGTATTAATTAAGCCATTAATGGAGATCTCCTTATGGGAGGCCGGCGGCATACATGGATGAGGGAGGGAAATCCATGTGGCTGATTTTCCAACCAGGATGCTGACGTGGCAACAAATATTAAAACTCCGATCTAATTGGAATTTGAAATTGAAACTCACTCAAAACTTTCCCTTTTTGGAAGATGTCAAATAAGGCAAGTTTTGAATTTCAAAATTTGAAATTCAAATGTAGTAACTCCCTTATTGATTGCTAGGCAACAATCAAGGAATCACAAAGGGGAAGAGATGACATCTCCAAGGGGGAGGATGATGGATGGCCGGCGGCTAGTGGAGGAGGGATATGGTGGCCGACGGGTTGGGTGGGGTTCTTTGGCGGAGTTTGGAATTCTAGTGGTGGAAACGAGTGAGTGGTTCGTGGGAGAAAGGATCTCGGTGGAGATTGGCGTGGAGTAGGGAGAATCGAAATTAGACAAGAAAATAGGAAGATAAATTGAACCACGAGTCGAGGACGCTTCCAACGACTGGTGGGTAATGCGAACGCTCACCTTGAGCTCCTCCTTCTCAAGCACTCATGCAAGACGAAGTAGAAAGTAGAACACAAATGTCATTCAAATATTCATTAAAAATTAAAATGATACAAGAGACCACTATATATAGGTCTTGACTCATAAAAGTGAAAAAGACTAAATTGTCCTCTGGGCTAAAAAGAAACATAACTCCCCACAGGGGTAAAATGGGAAAACAGTAAATCAAACAATGCAATAATAATAAAATACATCATGTCATCTAAATCAAAAGTAGAGACGCTGAATCGTGACCGTCGATCTGCGGTTTCGCCGGCGATAAACATGTCGGTAGCGTCTGTCGATGTCCTCATCAAAGTTTCCATCCATTGAGCCACAATTTCTCAAGCAAGTCGGTCTTGATTACAACAGCAAAAAATAAATTTGCAACAAAGAATCTTGATTGATGACTGATGAGCACTTGAAGAACTTGGTTTGTACTTCGAAAAAAATCCAGGGTGGAGGCTTGCACATATAATATTATCAAGAATCATATCAATCATTGGTCAGAAATCTGCACTCATTGTTACATCCAAAACAGTGCAAAAAACTTCATCAGCATGTGACCTTATCTTTGGAATCGCCCACAATTGCACATGAAGGGGGCATGGGACAAGAATGGTATTGGAATTTAAATCAAGGATTTTTATTTTTTTTTCAAAATGAGAAACTCTTAAGTTAGAAATTACAGGTGTTGCAAAATGTTTCATGCTGAACAGGCTATTCCAGGAGCTTTTCTAAATTCGTCAATCATAAGATTATATATTGATTAACAATATATTTCAAGATAGCAAAGGTAGATAGAAATTTATCAGAATTGTTGCACATCACACAATAATCCTCAATTAAATAATTTTCATTTTCCATTAAAAAAATATCAAATCACTGGCGAATTTGTTGTTAAAGTGTAAGAAAGAAAAACCAAAGATTTATAGAGACAAAAGAATTTTGTTCCTGCTACAATGGTTGATTAGGAACCCGAATAGGAACAAATACTTCTTTGTTAAGAGCTAGCTTTTGGATTCACTAAAGCAACCTACCTTTCACGGCATTCTTCACCAGCAACTTCAACTCACCTAAAGTACTTTGACAGTTCTTGCATACTGTCAGCAAATTCTTTGACTAGCTTCAGCGCCAATTACCATCTCCAGATAAAGATAGAATTGTTTCTTGGTTGGAACTAGTTTACAACACAATCAAAACCGCAGCAATAGATCTCCATCTCTTAGCTAAAACTCATCACCTTCAGCTGGTTCCTTCTTTCTGATTTTCTGGATGTGAACAAAGAACAGCACCAGCAGCCTCTCCAAGCAGTTCTTGAGAAGTGAGAACGCAACATATGACATGAAAAAAGATGGTGGTGTAAATAGATGCTTCATGGGGATGGAAACCGAGGTGGAAAGAGACTATCCATGGATAATATCGGGCTGCTCTTGGAGGCGGTGGCAACCTTGGAATGGACGATGCAATTTCCTGGAATCATGTTAAGAAAAGGTTACAAATTTTAGATTCGATGTTTAGAGGAGCTGAGAAGCACCTTGCATGGCTTGCAGTGGACAAGGTTGCGAGGAAGGGGAGGAAGCCATGGAAAGGTCTGGATGTTTCTGGGAGAATGGTAGAGGTGACTTGGAAAAAATGAGCCAGCAATGACTGCCGCTGAGCAGCGTGATGGAGAAACTTAAGAAACCAAACATGATTTCGCAATGATTGGAGCCATCGGCAGAGGGCTAAGAGGTGCTCTAAACAATTGAGCTACCAAAGTGTAATGTGAGTTGTGCTAATCCAACACAAATTTCTATGTAATTTCTTGAAATTTGTTTTCTGAAAAGTCCATTCATATCGACACTGGCGTCTCAAACAAATATAATTTGATCGTATATAAATAGATTTTTTTATCCCCATTCCCCCATTGGATCTTTCCTTCACTTTAGTAAAATGGATAAGTTTGCTGGATTTTTTTTTATTCCGATCATATCTACATCTCATATTGATCTGGGATGGAGACAAGCACCCAAACAACGATGGAATTCCAAGTGATGAATCAGGAGATGAGATTGGAGATCTAGGACGGAAGTTTCCATTAGAAATAAGGCGTTATGAGAGTTGATCAATCATATGGAATGGAGATGGGGCACCCATATGGTTGCAAGGCTCAACAAGAGATGATGATGGAAGAAAAGATCAGATCTCAATGAAAGCACCACTGATAGAAATTTAGATCCAATATAAACATTTTGAGCAACTCAAACTATAAAATTTATATAAAAAAAAATGAATTGAAATGAGGGGAATTGATTCAGTTATTTCCCAGCCAGCTTCCTCCCTAATTAGGAGTATTTATAGAACCCAAAGCTAACACATACTAACTACAACTAGTTAACCAACATCTAACTAACTAAGCAGCCTCCTTAATATCCCTATCAAACTCACTACAAAAGTTTAGTAAGTGAAAGATTAAAAGGAAGAAACAAGGAGGGGTTAAAATGACTAAAGTTGTTGGTGTCCACAAGGAATTGGTGAACCGGTGAATTGAAAGGGGGGATGTTCCTTTTATATTTCAAATAGTTTGGGTCGGATCAAATTCTAGGTACCTAAACACCTACAACCGAGAACTAAGAACCTAATGAAGGTTTTGGTTTTAAATGGATTCCAAACCTAGGACCCATGGCCCAACAAGAACTTTACAATTTTTTGGCTATTTCAACACACCCATACAATCCGTAAAGGTCATAGCAATGAAAATTAAATTTGCTACCAACAAAAAATGTGTGAAATACAAATAGGTTGTGGTTTGTTTGGGAGGCTAGTGGATAAAGTGTAAATGTTAAGCAAAAGAGGTAATATAAGTGAACCTGGAAGAAAGCCCAAATTCTCAATAAAAGATGCCAAAGTTGACGTAGCAACATCATCTTGAGCTTTTAGCTAGGTCGCAACAAAAGGACATCAAAAGAACCAATAATGTTCCATATTTTTTGAGTTTTCCTTTTTATTTCTTTCTTATTTATTTTTCCCTACAGATAAACTTTTTATACACCCTACAATCGTATCAATCAAAGGGGGTAGACATGAAGTTGATCCACAGAGCTACCTGCAATAGGTGTTGCTCTTTGATTTTGATAGATACCATGCTCATCAAAAATGTTAGATAGCATGACAGGGATGGTCCGCAATTTCCAAGATGCATTCTAATAAATAAAAACAACCAAATGACACATGTTCTCGAGCTTCTACCAAGTAAGATCTCCTCAGCATTCACGAATACTTGCATCTTGAAAAACTGTTCTCTCATAAATTTTTAATATGAAAGGCGCGGCTAAACAAAAATGTCCAACTCACAATACAGGTCAACAGTTGTGATTTATACTATTTTATAATCTAAAGCAAAGGAAACACGATAAACAAGTTATGAGTTTATTAGGCCTCGATAATTAATTGGATGCTTCGTCGACTTTTGAAATAAACAATCTTGAATGAAACATAACCTTGAACTATAGCTTCTGGCTACGTATCTTCCGTGTTCTGCACTTATATGTGCAATTCGACCATAGGTATCAGCACCATCTTTTGAAATGCCAGCCCACCATCCTAACTGCATTTTTCCAATTTAAGAAAAAAACCATTAGTCCTACAGCAAACTAAAAACACTATGCTTATGCTTAGGAGAAAAAAAAAACATCTATTCACAAATAGCCAATTATGAAGAGTTTGTAATCCCTTTGAGTCTTTGACCATCCTTTAAGCATCCGGAAGTCACATCTTTTGCATCCCAACATAGAGAACGAGGCACTTCGAGAAATGCATAAAACAAAAACACATCTTCAACCCTAGGGGTATTGGGATAAGAAGAATACTATTTAGCATCACGATGTTCTGTATTTGCATTTACTATAGCCAAACTTCTTTGATTCATCATTTACGTGATTAACGCTTCATTTGGGACGGCTTTCTTACTGCTGCTTAAAGCCGCTTTCTAGTACCACATTTTTTATTTTTGTACTTAAAAATTGTTTTAAGAAGCAATAAGAAAGCCGTCCCAAACAAAACCTAAGTTTCAAATAACTATAGTCCCAGTTAACAAATTGTTTGGCAAACTGCAAATCATTTAAGGTTTTCCAAGCTATCATTTTTGCAAATTAGATAAATTGCTCACAGGTAGACAATCTATAATTTTAGGAATACTGAGATGGCTACTCGACAACACAAAAGATGACGTTCTCTGTAAAAATGCTTCCATAAGAAACTATCTTTAACACGTACAACAGGCAGAATATTTATATTTCTCAAAATAAACAAGAAAAATACACAAAAACTTACTTTTTGAATTGTGAATAGATCAAAAAGTTTGCAATTATAATTAAGGGCACAATGAAAAAGATAAAAAATAAAATAAAATAAAAATAAAAATTAAAAAAAAAATGTAAACAGCAAAATGCCGCCATGATAAACATCATCACCATCATTTTTGTTCTCTAAAAACCATGAGGTTGCCAAAAAGATAGCCACAGGGTGGCAATTTTTAAGTTTCTGGAATAGACAACCATGCCAAAAACTTGAAAACAGGGATATTGGCATAAATCTCTCTTCCAGCAACTAATGTGAACTAGGCAACGTACTGGGAAAGATCTTTCCACATTTTAAACTTTATAATACAAGATTAAAAATAAGATTATTGAGGTGAAAAGAATAAACATCTCATAAGAGAACATATGAAGCATTAAGTCAGATGCCTGTGTTTAAGATGTACCAATCCTGTGCCAGCATTATCTTGAAGAAAAGCCGCATCATTGTACCTCTCCTCTGCAATCGCTTTCTGCAAAACACAAGATTAATGAAGATAAATGTGAGGTGGGTGATATAAGATTTTAAATATACATCAGTGGAAGTTTCTAAAAATCTTCTTACATTGTACTCATGTATTGCAGAGCCTATAGTATCAGTTTTGTTAGCAGCATGAAGTGCCACCTTGAGCTTGGCAGCAGCTTCATAATCTTCTCTAGCAACAGCATCACTCAACTGCATCTGAAACAAACCAATAGAAAAAAACATTCTAGCCAAAAGTTAACGCCCTTATAGCATGAAAACCCAACTTCTCTAACTGGGGAGCATAAAAAATATGAGATCTGAGGCTTTTCTGCTAACAAATTTACTAAGGTATTCAAAAAAGCAGTTAGTGAAACCAATGAGACAATGAGGAAAAAAGTATTTGATAACCATCATACTTTAACAAATGTTTCCAAAAACATGCCACAATATACTTGATATATCTTGTAAAAAGTCAAAAAAAATTCTGATTAAAAAAAATTCCTAGAGGAATGACAAAGCATCCCTAAACAACCAGAGGAATTACAGAGGAACAAATCATGACTTTTAAGCAGAGGACCAACAATCAGAATTTCAAAGCAACGCAAATGAGTCCAGAAAAATCTCATAACATAAAGCTACAAGAAAACAAAATCACCCAGATATAAAGCGATCTGGATCTAAATCTTAACCGAACAAATCTAAGCTCTTAAGAACAATCTAATGCAAAGTGGGCAGCAAATGAAAAGATTGTGCTGGATTTCTTATAACTAGATTTGTCGAGAATAAAAAATCAGGTAGAGAGGAAATACTAGAAAATATAAAGAGAAAAAAGAAAAGCAAATGTAATGGAGATCAAGTGTAATGGAATGAATGTGTGCAAATCTGCTTTGGCCAAAAATGATAGAGAAAGATTGAGAGAGTAAGGGGTTTAGAGAGATATGAAGGCTAGGTAGGTTCTTTTAACTTTGAATAGAAAGGGGAAACAAGAGGATAGACAAGATGGGAAATCACGTGTCCATGCTTTTGTTTTCAATAATCATTAGTAATGATCATACAAAACTATAGAACACCCTATACAAACTACGAGTGCTTAAACCAAACTTTAAATGTGTATGACTCATAAGAAAATACTTAATATATCATATATGAAATAAACATAAAACTAAAAAGGGCATACTTAAATTATTATAGCTGTTTTTTGTTGTCATAAAAAAATTTAAATTATAATTTCCTTTGGGAATATTCAATTGATAAGAATTGTCCCTTCTCTTAAGATTATCAATTTTTTAAATTTAAATTAAATTTCACTTATCCACCTTATTTTCTATAAATAGATATCATATCTATGTAATTATCATCTTGAATTTAATATTGAAAACAAATCCCCTTCTCTCTCACGGTTTCCTTCTCCCCTAAATTTCAAGGGCCAAAATGTCCTCTCATTTTCCCTCTTTAGGTCAATCTCCTCTTCCCACATTCTCTTCAGCATCTACCTCTACACTCTCAGCTAAGGGTTGAATCTATGAGGAATCAGGCTAGTCGAAGGAAAATTGAGAGATAAAATAAGGAAGAAATCAAGGTATGAAAAACTATCATTAAGAACCTATCACTCCCTCTATAATTTAATGTTTGCACCTAATCCACATCAATGTGCACTATGAGGAAAAGAGGGAGGGAAGAAACAAGAGGAACATATAAATGGTGTAAAATATTCTAATCAAAGAAAGGTCAAGGATGATGATTATCAACTCATGATTAAGAAGCACCAAAGATGATACAAGTTTGGTAGATGACATAATGGAGAGAATGTTAGAAAGTGTTAACAAAAATTGGGAACAGGTTTGGGAGTAGGCTGCAAACTTGCTTTTAGAGCAAGTAATTGATAAGTTTTACATAAAACAAATCTTAAATGTGTGAGACATATCTTGGGTGCAGCCCTTGCATTATCTGCCTTCTTCAAAAAGAAAAAGGGGTGTGTAATTTTATGTATAAATACTAAAACTAGAATAATAGCCTCTAATTCGCACTAAGAAAAAGCAGGGCGAGATAAAAGAAATATCTATGCTTCCTTTGTGGGACAAATGCTAAAACCTAAATTTAACATCTGAAGATAGTGATCATCATAATCTTGGTGGGTTTCACTCAATACCATTCAGGATCTTCTATGGACCAAGATGTCTCAGGAGTCAGGGAGATCAAAGCAACATTACAAAATGTTTAATATGCACCTTCAGAAATAAAAGAAAAATGGATAAACTTGATATCCTATAAAATATATTCCTGTTGAAGTACAAAAACTTGAGGAACATAAATCACATACTATTCCAAATCAGATACAACTAAATAGCTATTGTTTCACAATTACAGATTTCTCTGACAACCATATTCATTCATCTATGGCTCCAAATCCCATTGCAAAAAGTGTTAATAATCATGACATCTTGGATTTGGCCCCAAAAAAGCAAACCATTATCAATAAAAGGTGATGTCTTTTTCATGAAATAGGATAACATGGGATGAATCCAAACAATTCCGGGTAAAAATCTAGATTGATTAATTCTAATAAACATTCAAGCAAGAGCAAAATATAATATGGCACAGGACACCCTGTCTATTTTTTTCAAAGCTCGGGACCAATACAAGGAAATTCTCCCTTATGTTGATGAAGCTTCATGTGCTATTTTGGACATCAAAATGGTTGAAAACATAGGACCAATCATTGATGTGATGTTAGCTGATAGTATTGTTTATATTGGAATGCTGCACTAACTCAACCATTGGTTTCACTTGAAGCACATACCACGTTCTTCAAGTGCTAATCAATCAAGATTGTCTTTTATGACCTTATATTTTCTCTATTGCACAAAATGAACCAGTTTGAGAAATTGTGCTTGAATGGATGGCAACAATCATCATCAAATTGCCGGGAGGAGCTTCACATTCAGGGACAGATCATTGTTTTTGTGAATCTGATGGGGGTATTAAGGGGGATGTTTGGTTACTTAAAATTTGGTTAGCTTGTTTGTGTACGTTAGTTTAAGTTGGCCTTCTATCCTATAAATTTCCTAAGCATAAGGATGATGGTGTGAAAATAATGAATCAAGTTTTTCCTATTTTTATCATCTTACATTAATTCTTTTAGTGTGAAGTAACTCGAATTGGATCTAGTATCCAATCAAAAAGTACCTTTAACACTGAGGCAATCCACTCCTGTTCTTCAATCTCAGCAAAATGTCGCTTCCATCGTTTCCAGTCCCAACCCTTCCCTTCCACCTCTTCCCCTGCCACTGCTGCCTCTCCCTTCTTACCCACGCCCGCACTGCCCAGCTGCAAGCCGCCCATATCGGACAATTGACGAAACGAATTCACACAATCTTCTAGCCTCTTCACAGCGCCCCTCACGACGTCATGCAAAAGCAAGTCCAATCTCTTCCAACCACCATCGTCGCCCGATGGCGGCGAACCCGAAAGAGGATTGCGACAACGACAGAGACCCAACTCCGACCTCTTTGGAGGGGACAGCGGGCACCGAGGGGCCGCCGCGATAAACCTAGGAAAGTGAGAAGGATATCGGCTAGGGTTCGAATCGTTGTGCATGAGGGCTGTAGATGGCGGCCGAGCTGCCGATATCGATGCCATTGGTATCGAGAGAGCAAAGGACAGAGGTCTCTTGACCGAGAGAGGAATAAGAATGGATAAGAATATAAGATTATAAAAAACATCGGTTTATATCGAGCCCGGTTTTAGTGCAAAAGCAGTGGCGCTGGTTTTATTTTGTTTAAGAAGGGTTTTTTTTTTCTTATTTATTGTTTTTTAAAATATTTTTATATAAAATTTTTTAATAATAAAAAAATGTAACAAAAAAATTTCCTGAATTTAATCTAAAAGTATAAAATGTCCTAATAATTTCTACTGATATATTATTATATATTGCTATATTTCTTAATATAATATTTTATATTCATAAAGTTTATATATTTTTGATATATCATCGAAAAATTATCTTGGTCGGGCACGAATCTTGAGACAAAAATCAAGTTGGAAATTTCAAAAATTAAATCCGGGATCATCTAAACTTCAATTTCAGCAAACTTACAGTCGAACTGATCGTCTCGGAAATACGAACCCAACAACACCAAATTCAACTCAATCTGAGCCCAAATGAGTCCAAATCACCCGAAGCGCTATTGAAAGGTTCGAACCAAAATTTGGATTAACAAACGGTTTACAAACGTGACATGCTTATAGTCGAATCGAGCGGCTTGACGAGACGAATCCATCGAGCCCAAGATCTCCGAATTTCGATATTATTAAGACCTTCATATGTCTGACGAATGGTCCACGATCAAGAAATTCAATATCAATCGTCCATCTAAACCACTCCACATTTGCCCTTGATCTTCCTCCTATTTACGGGTCATGTCATCCTTAAAAATCTATAAATATACCTATCATTTCTCTTGAGAGGGGACCGAAGCAAGAAGAGAATAAGAGAAGGAATACGAGATGATTAGGAGGGAATAAACTCCTCATCGACCATCGCCGTTGGAAATCTACTCGACTTATAAACGACGACGGAATTTCGACCAACTTCTAAGTTTCGCAGGAATTCTACCGGATTTCCAAGTGACGCCGGAATTCAGCCCGAGTTCCAAGTGACTCCGGAATTCCGCTCAACTTTCCAATGACGTCGGAATCCTATTTAATCTCTAAGTGACTCCGAAATTCTATCTGACACCCAAGTGACGCCGGAGTTTTATCCGATGCCCAAGTGATGTCAAAATTATGCCCGACGGACATCATCTCATCGTCAAATTTCCACGTGACACCAAACTTCTGCCAGTTGTTGGATTTTCGTCGAACATCTGTCTGATACTGGATTCCTATCAATTATTGGACTTCTATCTGACGTTATCCATCTAACCTCCGTTGTTAGACAACGCTCCTTCTGACCTCCATCGCCCGCCGACTACGGCTCTCCTGACTTACGTCGCCTACTAACTACAATCCTTTCAACCTCTGTCGCCCGTCGACTATTGTCCTCTTGACTTACATCGTCCATCTACTATAGTCATTCAGACCTCCATCGCCTGCCGACTACGCTCATCCTGACTTACGTCGCCCACCGACTATAGTGATCCTTCTAAAGACCGTCGCCAGACAACGGTCTTTGTGACCTCCGTCGCCTGCCGACTACGATTCTTCTGACTTCCGTCACCAGACTATGGTCCTTCTGACCAAACGAACACGTCAACAATGATTATTTGTATTCCTTCCATGTAATGTATTAATTCCATATGATATACATAAGCCAAGGAATTCCCCCAAGGAAGTGCCTCATTTGTAATCAACTGCAATACTAGTGGATTCACTCAAACTGGGCTAGGCCCCGTGGTTTTTTTCCCCTTTTAGGGGTTTTCCACATAAAAATCTTGGTGTTTCTTGTAAATGCTACATCCTCTCTCTTATCTGATTGCATGTTGAATTTTCGTACAATGCTAAGATGCTAAACTTTATATTTCTCTACCGCCGCGAATACTCCTGAACGCAACAATTTTTTTAAATTTGATTGCAATATTTAATATTCATAATAGCTGATATATCATTTTTTAAGCTTATATGTCACTATGAAATAAGCTTTTCTAAACATTAAAAAAAATATATTTATTATTTATAAAATATTTAAAACCATATTAATATAATTATGCTTATGCATTGATTAAAATATTAAAATAGATATATTTCTTCATTTTATTATAAATTAAATATTTCTTTAAGTAACTATTGTGAAATAACTAGAATTATGTTTGCAAGCTTACTAGTAACCATTTTATTTGTTCCTCTTTTATTTGTTATTTCATGCTTAATTAAAAAATGAATATATTTAATTTTGAATTCTTTATCATATTTGAATTCCAACTACTTTAAATGTTGGCAGAAATACAAAGTATATATTTACTCAAAACTTTTTTTTTCCTCAAAACTTTTTGTTTTCACAATATATATTCTTAAGAGTCCCAAAAGGAGTTAAATATAATAAGAAATTTGGGTTCAAACTTATTTCTAAAATCAAACAAACTGCAAATAATCCAAAATTATAATCTAAATGATTGTCTCATTATGAAACAATTAGAAATTCGAAAAAGCATATGTATCAAATACCAGTGATGTCATAAAAATTCGAATTGATCAAATACAAATCTCAATCTATATTTGAATTGTAAGGTTTTACAAATATATTAATCCAATTTCAACAAACTTATTGGCAAATTAAACTTTTACAATTACACATCTTCCCTTTTTTGTTCCAGCTGATGCAGATGAGAGAACAAAGTAGCTAGAAGTGATGAACTAAGGGCATCTCCAACGGAGAACTCCAAAATTTACGGCAAAATAACACATAACTCCAAAATGGCGTGGTGCTGTTCCAATCGAACACCATTTTAGGTGTTTTTCAGAAGTTAACGATCTTCTCCCTTTCGCGCGTTTTACCGGTTGAGAGAGTAAAATGGCGTGGGTGAACAGTGCGACGCCAATATTGGCGTCGCACTGTTCACCTGCAAGTAAATGACAAAAATTTTTGCGTTCGGTTGGAGCGATGGACGGACGGCATACGCTCGTTTGGTGTTCGGTTGGAGATGCCCTAACAACTTCATTTCTTGCTTGAAGGGATCAACAACAACTCCTCTTCTCCATTTTCCTTTACTCGAACCCCTATGACAGAGAGAGACAAACAATGGAGAGGGAGAGAGTCACGATAGCTAACTTTCACGTGAGAGAGAGAGAGAGAACACCCCAAAACTGGAGAAATTATTGAAGGTCGTCTAGAGACCAACTAGAATGCGCCACATCAACATTACTGAGTCACAATACCGAGTAGTATCAAGCCGCGGTATCTAGCACAGGGGTGATGTGTTGCATTATAGTTAATCTTCGGATGACATTCGGCGTCCCCATAGAATAATTAATCCCAAAGCCTAGCCCTAGTCTATCACGACCCGACCCGATCCGGGACGGATCCAGCTCACACCGGGTCGCGACACGGAAACGAACAAACTGACTGACCAGGATCTGGCTTTGGAATTTGCTTACTGAACTAAATTTTCCAAATTATTTCAACTCAAACACCAACACACAGAACAGACCAGAGCTACTATGAATCATCAAATGCAGCAGAACAAATCATCTATATTTTTCTTTCTTTTCCTCAAAACAATCATCTACAAATACGGTACATGGCTAACAGAAGAAATACAGAAGAAAAGTCATAACCGTACAAAAATCAAAAGTACAAAAGTACCTATCACAGATCGGACTCTGAACTCTAGTCCTGGACTTCCTTCCCTTTCCCAGAACCTGAAAACCACCAGAAAATGAGAGTGAGCTCAACAGCTCAGCAAAACAACAAACCTCCAATCAAAAAGAGTCCCAAAAGGAGTTAAATATAATAAAAAATTTGGGTTCAAACTTATTTCTAAAATCAAACAAACTGCAAATAATCCAAAATTATAATCTAAATGATTGTCTCATTATGAAACTATTAGAAATTCGAAAAAGCATATGTATCAAATACCAGTGATGTCATAAAAATTCGAATTGATCAAATACAAATCTCAATCTATATTTGAATTGTAAGGTTTTACAAATATATTAACCAATTTCAACAAACTTATTGGCAAATTAAACTTTTACAATTACACATCTCCTCTTTTTTGTTCTAGCTGATGCAGATGAGAGAACAAAGTAGCTAGAAGTGATGAACTAACAACTTCATTTCTTGCTTGAAGTGCTGTAGGTGAGAGAAATCAGAAACCTCCTAGCTTATTGCTTAAAGGGGTAATCGAACCCCTATGACGGAGAGAGACAAAAGATGGAGAGGGAGAGAGTCACGATAGCCAACTTTCACGTGAGAGAGAGAGAGAACACCCCAAAACTGGAGAAATTATTGAAGGTCGTCTAGAGAGCAATTAGAATGTGCCACATCAGGGTTACTGAGTCACAATACCGAGTAGTATCAAGCCGCGGTACCTAGCACAGAGGTGATGTGTTGCATTATAGTTAATCTTCGGATGACAATCGACATCCCCATAGAATAATTAATCCCAAAACCTAGCCCTAGTCAAACCTAGAAAATAATTGAAAATGAAATGACAATTCAACCCCTACAAACCCTCAATCCAACAACTAATATTACATCTAATGTTGCCCTTGAAAAGCAAATAAAATCATGATATCCTTTTGAGGTATTTTTAACCGTCAAATCAAAGTTTTACTTGATTATGAAAGATATGATAAGACAAGGCTGATTTGGATTGTATTCAATCTTAAACTAACCGAAATGAATTTGAATGAGGGTTTTTATTTTTTTTCTTTGTTTATTATTTATATTATAAAATCCCATCATATTCTCTCTAATCGACATACGTCAGATATTGTCCAATTCGAGCACAAATATGTTCAATTGACCCGTCTCACTGAGCCAAATGCAATGGTGCAATTCATTTTACAAGGAAAGACCCGATCAAAAAGTTTTGTGTAAGTGATGAATATATGTATGAAAAATTCAAATGCATAAACTCGTGTAAAAATATTCTTCAAATTTGTATCAGCTCGATCATATATATTTTAAATATAATAAACAACAAAAAGTGATGGAAAAAATAAATTCTAAAGTCGATGACGATTCGATGTAAATGTATGACTTAACACTTTTCATCAGACACTGTGATGCAAAATATAAGAATATGGACCAACCAACAAGATATGCAAAAACAAATGAATGATGTCAAAAAGGAGGTCAATAATGCCCATTATTTTGTTGAGTGGTAAATTCATGAAAGTGTCTCTTGTGTGGGTTCTCGCCTTCATATATATAGGGCGCTTGAAGAATTATTTATTTTGAATTGCCTCCATCAACTCGATCATTAACATTAATAAATCAATAATAATAGGGTGTTCATGAGCTTGGTGGCAATGCCCCCTCATCATCTTGTTGGTGAATCACACATGATACCTGTTCATTTCACTGGGCAGGCAGGCATGCAATTCTCAATGATCTTACGAGTGAAGGTGCCCTTTATTGTTGTGATGGGGATGATTTTGCAGGAATTGATGCCTCACCTTCATCCTATGTACCCTTAGGTGACTTCTATGGTGCCTTGGAGGTTGGAAATGATCATGCCTCAAGGCAAATTTTTAAGGTGAGCAGTGAAAAGGCGACTTAGTTAAACAGTTGTACTCCTCAAAGTTGATATGGTTGTTGGCGAGTTCCAAGAACACTATTAGTGCCCTTGATTGTTGTAAACCAAATGTATACTTAAATGACCCTAGCTTATTGTTTGAAGGAATGAACAACAAATCATCTTTTCGTTTTTCCTTTGCCTGAACCCCTATAACCAAAAGAGACAAAATAGGGAGAGGGAGAGAATCAAGACAACCAGCTCTCATGCGAGAAGAGAACAACACCCCAAAAGTTAGCCCTATTGAAACCTAAAAAAGAATTGAAAATGAAAAGTCAATTTAAACCCCCACAAACCCTCAATCCAATAGCAAATATTACATCTCATGTTGCCCTTGAAGAAAAAAATAAAAATACCGCTATCCTTTTGATGTCTTTCCAATCATTGGATCGAAGTTTTACTTGGCTGAGAAAGATATGGTATGATGAGACTGATTTGATTTGTATTCAAACTTAAACTAAAGTAAATTTGAATGAGAGTTTTTATTTTGTTTTTAATTTTCATGCAACTATAAATATAATTTAATAAAAATAGTAATTAAAATTAAGTTTGAGGCTTATTGTGATAAGTGATGATTGACTTCAAATATTATATAAACAAAACCAAAGAAGTCAGTTTCTTCGGTCAAATAATTTCAAATACTTTATATTGCTCGTATTATTTACTGTTGTTGTGCTCTTAAGATATCAAATAAAATAAATTAATTATCTCATTATATTGTCTTATGATAGGGCACATCGAATCGGTGTAAACTGAATTAAAAAAAAAAAAACCTTGGATGGGTTTTACTAATAAAATACCAAAACTACCCCCGCGCTAATCCGTTCATGTGGTTCTTCGAGTCTTTCTAATCCCCAACTTCTCAATCCCCCACTACCCGTTCCCATCCTTTGCTTCACCTCCGGCCGGCGATGGAGTACTCCTCGCTCGGCGAAGCACAGCAACAGCAACAGCAACAGCAACAGCAATCGGATCAACAGCAAGCTTACGATCCTGCTCAGGCTCAAGCATACGCGGCCTACTACGCCGCTTGCGACCAATACTACGCCGCATCGGCTTACTACCACCAGCCCTATTACCCTCACGACTACTCATCTTCCGCCACCGCGGCCACGGCTGGCGTTTACTACGCGGAAGCACAGCCGGATTCCGCAGCTACGCAGGCTGATGCGGCTCAGATCCAGCAGTCCGGCTCGCACGGGACGGCGTACGCGGCAGCTATGGAGCAGGATGGATACTCGTATCAGGCTGCGGCGGGGTTAAACCCTGCTGCTGTGGCGGCGCTCTCACAGTTATCGCAGCTCACCGGGTCCATCGACGCGGCTGAGAGGATGATGGCGGCGGGGATGCACAATAGGACGCAATCATCACCTTACCAGCAATATTCTCATCCCATGACGGTGCAGCACGGGGGCCCATCGACCCACCCTGGGGTATGAGCTGTTTGACATTCGTTGCTTTCTTGCCCTAGTTTGTTGATTAGGAAAATTTCTCCTGATTTCTGTTCTCGCTTAATCGGATTTCTTCCTGTGGATATTTTTATCCGGTGCTGTTTTTGTTGATCGTGCTGGTCTCATTTTTTAGCTGTTAGGTTTTTTATATTGCTTCTCGAATTTGTTGTGATATGATTATCCTGTACTGTATTAGTTCATTGCGCCTATCTTAGCATTTGTGTAACATTTTCCCATTGTTTGGCAGGAGTTAGACCGAAATGGTATTTCTCATCGCAGCACTGTTTTAATTCATGCTGTGCTGCTGAAAACGTGTCGATTTGCTACTTCTTATTTTTTTTATTGATTTCTAATAATTTAGAATTGATGGCAAAGTTTTGCTAATGATTGCTACATGAGAGGCCTTAAAAATAATGAAAAGCTCGAGTTATGTATTGCATTGTGGTTAGACCTGGTAATGTGTCCTCTTATACTGTTTGGCTTGGCTTATGAGCCGAAGCTGCTGAACCAGGTTTTAGCATTCAGTTCAGCCCTGTCTAGATTATCTTAACCCATCCCCCAAGATTTGGATTATAGATGATTGTCTTCAGTGTTAAGCTATACTATGTTCTTTTACTCTGTTTATTATTTCAGAATTAGAAGTCCGTATTGAAGTTAATCTAATTTCAAACTAAATGGCCCTATTGTTATTGGATATCTATGGCTTTTCATCGTCTTGTTGCCATAGGGGTAATAAAATAAATTCCTTAGCAATTATCTTTCAGTGCTTTTGTTCTATGAAGGGGTTTTCTGGTTGATAATGTTTCGAGTGTACTCTATTTGAAAGGCACAAGTTTTAATTTTGCAAGTGTTTGTTTTGGGGTAAAGCGAATCCTAATTTTTTTTGGTAATTTGAAACTCTCTCAATCATATTTGGTGTATTCTAAATTCACTTGAATCAAGTAAATTCAGAATGCACTGCATGTTATGAAGCCCTACAACGTCATTGCGTTGCATTTCACAACAGCCTTTGCATTGTCACAACAACTCCACTTATGACTTGTGATCTATGATGCACGGATATTGACATGACACAAAACATACAAGAGTTACGGCTATCATTGGAAATGTAGGACACAGGTACGTCACGAACACGACATTACAATTTTTTAAATAGTGTATATAAATTAAAATTAAACTTAGCTTCAATTCAAATATAAACCCATGATGAAGCCTACATTATTCCAACTTATTTAGATGCTAGAGGATCTTGAAAAAATAAAAAGATAATAAAAAATATGAAAATATTAATGCTACAACATTCAAATATACACTTTTGCTTAGACAAGCTAAATGCCTTATCTAACCTATTTCTTAGAGCACCAATTGATCTCTGATGGACCGGACCAGCCGGTCCATCCCAGAGCAACACCGGCCCAAACTGGGCCGGTTTCTGTTTACCAAAGAAGGAACCGCCCACTACTTGGGCGGTTTTTGTAGAACTTGCATACATAACAGAGAACTCTTATATATAACACGACATATCATCATCCCCACCCAGACATGATTGTTTTTTTGCTTGTTAAATCCTCTATCAGGTTTCACACTTTCATGCTAAACAAACTATGAAGGATTTATAGTTTGAATGAAAGCACATAAGCAATACAAAACGTAAAATTTTGTAGTAGGATAAATAAGTCACAACTAGTGGAGCAATTTACAGATCAATAAAGCCATAGGATACCACAGACGATGAGTTTAAACATATTTTCACTTGGAGATAGATTTAATTGCAATTCAATGAAGAATTCAAGCAGACACATCATTCAAGGAGAAAACTTTTTATACCTTTGAATAGTGGCTCGCTTGTAGAAATAAAGAAGCCGACAAACTATACTCCAATCAAACATATCTGTCTTACTCTCCCTCCTTTGCCTTCGATAGATCATACATAAGAGTCAGAACACTTCGATTCCCTTGGTTCATGTGAAAATGGTGAAGACAAGCAAGTAAGATGCCTGCGCGGAAATGAAGGGAATGACGAGAGAACGGTTGAAGCCGGACGTACTAGGCTTCAAATCGAGCTGTCGCATGCTCCAGTTGGCCTCACCTCGTCGTAAAATTGACGAAGATTCGAAGAGAAGACAAATTGCCGAAGACGACAAGGGAATATGGACGTACCTAGCTTCAATCGAATAGTTGCTCACTTTGCTCGATCAGCTCGCCTGGTCTCGTAAACGAAGAAGATGAGGGAGACATGATCGTGAACAATGAAACTTTAGAGCATTCGAGTGCCACTAACATGCGAGCTCAGGATATACGGGATTAGTTACATGTTTTATTTGATTAAAAGATTATTAAAGTGTAAAAATTTTGTAATTTAAATAAATTTAATTATCAAATATTATGACACTTGTGTTCATTTTAGTTTAAATATTATTTTAATCTGACATGCCTTTGCCGTGTTTGACATATGTCCCAATCATGTTCGACAGGTGTCCTAGTCGTTTCGGTCTTGTGTATGTGTCCGAAATGTGTTGGAGGCTGCATTCTCTCTTGTGAAGGTGTGTCGGTGCATCATAGCTTGTGATCCCATGAACTACTTGTTGACCTTTTTTTGGGCGTGCCTCACTCCCCTGATCTCATTGATGACTCGTGACTTTTGCCTCACAACCACAACTTCATCAACGACTTATGGCCTCACCTTTAAATTTTGTTTGCCTGATGCCAATCCCATTCCTTAATTGAAAAAGTAATAATAATAATAATAATAATAATAAAAGACTTTTATCCACTTTTTAGCCATTCAAACACAAAAAAAAATATTTTGAATTTATTTTACATCCAACCATACATGAAAAAGTATTTTTAATATTTTGAGTTTACTTCACTGTGCATTGAAAATGAGGAAGAGTTGTAAACAATTAATGTTGAAGGTGACCAAGAGGATCATTACTTAGTTATCAGTCGAGTCTTGGCCACTAGAATTGATGCTAGAGATAAATGACTTAGAAGGAACACTTTTCGAACCACTTGTATGGTAGGAGGAAAATTATGTACCCTCATGATTGATAGTGCTGGTTTAGGAAATTGTGTCGCAACTCATGTTTTATAAGCTTAAATTAAAATCAAAACCCCTTGCCAAGCCTTTCAAGATATCATGGTTCAAGGAAGGAGTAGAGGTAGGGGTGTCAATTCGGGTCGATGGGTCAGGTTCGGGTCTAACCCGCTTGACCCGAGCGTAAACGGGTTGACTTGAACCCGACCCGTTTAGCTAAACGGGTTTGGGATTTGAACCCGAACCCGACCTGGGTCATGTGGCAACTCGCCAAATTTTTTTTTAAAAATGAATTTTTACTTTTTTTAAGCAAATTATAAATAATTACTACTCAAATCAAATATTGAAAATAATAAAAAATAAACAATCAAATTGCAATAAAATGATAAATAATAAAATATAAATTTTATTAATAATTTAGATTTTACAACAACAATGTAAAAAAAAATTGAATGTATTGAAATACTCGAATACATTACAATTTTGTTTCAATTTCTTAAATTCTTACAAGTTACAAGTTACAAAACATATCACAAATAGTCAAATACAGCTTAACAACTAAACAATCATACAACTGCTTTGCTTAATTGTTGCCTTTCACTCGTTCGACTTATGCATAATTATCCCCTACTCACCAATGAAGAACGTGTAAGGCTGCAAAAAAAATACAAATAAAAGCAAGAGTTCGTTGACTGCTAGCTACCAAAATAGTAGGCTCAGGATGAACCATGCAAAGAAACATTAGCTGCAATAATTCCATAAAATGTGCTCTCCAAGGTTACAAATTGTTAAATGGTAATATGGCTTTAATCAATTTAGTTTCTATTCAATTAAATAGTATATGCTGAAGCCTCAAGCCAATGAAAATCCCTTTTACCAATTTATAACCCAGTTGCATCTAACTGTGCGTTGCTACTGGTGTGTAATTTCACCAAGTTCTTCATCATAACCATAAAAACTGACCAACACCATCAGCCCAAAGGCCCAAAACAGCAGCAGAAAAACCAACAGTATGATTGCAGGAAAAAACCTATCACAACCTCAGAGGTTAGAGCTACAGCAGAAAAACCACCTGCCAACACCAACACCATCAACAAAACAACAACATCAACACCATCAGCAACCCCAACACCAACATAATCATTAATATTCACAAAAGAAGCCATCTTCCAACACCAACACCATCAACAACACCAACACCAAGAAAGATCAAAAGAAGCCATTTGCCATCAACCAACACCAACCAATACCAATAACAACCCTACACAACCATAAAAAACAAAAGGCAGCCATACACAACAACAATATGGTGCTTGCATAGCCCTCAACCAACACCAACAACAATTATCATTAATATTCAAAACATGACAATAAAAAAAGATGTAGTGATTCAAATGTAATAATATTATTTATCAAAAATATGATCAACAACCATTAAATACAACATAAAGCACAAAAGAAGACATCTGCCACCAACAACAGCCCGACAACATCAAAAACAAAGCCACCTCCAATAGCTGCCACTTAAAATCAGCCCACCTAAAATCTTTCTAATGGAACAAAATCAGGTCAGATCAAAACATCATAACAAAACAAGCACAGAGATATGTTTTGGAACAAACGGATCCCATAAGATCAAAATTAGCAAAAATAAGCAGAGATAAAACTCAACATAATGGAGCAAACAACAGCTCATCAGATCAAACATCAGCCCATCAGATCATAATTGCAACTCAACATAAATAAGCAAAAAATAACAGTGATAAAACTAAACATAAAACTTTTAGCAGTCAATACGATCTTCATCACAATTAATATGTTTAACATACAAATTACATAAATAAGAACAGTGTCTCCAAAGTTTAAGATGCTATGTTCACTGAGTCATTCACGACTCACATTTGGTTTCCGTTGAAATCCAAACTCATTAGGTCATCTATCACCGCATCAAGCTCAGGGTCTTTGTATCTATTACCAATGCAGCAATATTAATTTGTTACCATGTAAAGTTCTAGTTAAAAACTAAAATTATAAGTAAGTTAAATAGTAATATTAATTTATTACCTTGCTCACCATACAACCAATCTTTAGTGCATGCTAACGTCTCCACAATATCATGTTTCAATGCTCTTCGATATTGATCGATAACTCTACCACTATTGCTAAAAGCACTTTCGGATGCCACAATAGAGATTGAAATGCACAAAACATCACGAGCCATGCTTGAGATTTGAGAAAATTTGTACTGATTAACTTTTTGAAGGACCAAAGGTCTTCAGGTTTATGTTAAGGTCCACAATGAATGAGATTAGAGGATAGTAAAAGGTTAAATATAAAGTGGAAAATTAGAACCTGTAGAAATTGTGATTTAATGATTGTTGTTGGCTGACTAGTTGAAGGAGTCCTTTGCAAAGATTGGGATGTTTGAGATTCAATGGTAAAGGCTTGTTCATTTGTTACTGAGTAGTTTGAAAACACAGTGTCGGTGTGTCCTAGTTCTCCCTGACTTTGTCAAGCTCGGACACATAATTACCCACTTACAATTTGTTGTAACACCATTCGACAAAGTTAAATTTATATCTAGTGGTGGTAGTAAAACTTCAAAGGATAAATTGATGTCTTTGATTGCAGTAAGAAGACAAATTAATAGGCAAAAATGCTCAAGCTCTTGTCTGTTAGTATAAACTAATAATCATAACAATAGTTGAACAACAACATTACATAGCAACAAGTCCTAATCCAACTGCGCAACATAGAATCAAACAACTGGGTTATTAGAAGCATAACAACATCAACATTTCAATTTTCAACCTCAGTTCCTATCTTCATGATATCAAGTTCACAATAAAATCCTAATCAACATTTCAACCCCACCTCAGTCATTATAAGCAAACCCTAATCCTCCATTTATAGATTTCAAAAATTGGAAACACCTGAAACACCATCACACCGAGAGTAAAAAAATCGAAATCCTTATCTACAATTACCCTAATCAGTTAATCTCCAAAAGGCATTCATATTTTTTGCTTTCAAATACGAAAATGGAAAAATCCAAATGGCTAAAGTGGGGCAAAACGAAAGAACAAATTTCCATAAAAAATCTAAAATAGAAATCGAAAAAACCGTCACACCAAGAGTTCAAAACAACAAGAATTATTTAAGATATTACCGACTGTCGCAATCGAGAAAGGAGGAGGATTCGAGGAGAAATTCAAAAGCCGAAGGAATCACGACAGTCGAGAGGTCGAGAGAAGGAGATATCAAGAGAACTTCACTGCTCCAGCGTTCCTGAATGCCTAGAGAGAGTGAGGAGTGGAAACACTAAAACAAAATATAACTGAAGAGGCGAAGACTCGAACAATTGAACTCAAACTCTTGAAGGTTATTCATATCCAAACAGAAGGGTTGCGGGTTAGTCGGGTCGCCAGCGGGTTGACGAGTTGACCCGAACTCGACTCGAAATATAAACGGGTCCATAAATTAGGCCCAAACTCGATCTATTTATTTCACGAGTTGATCATAACCTGGATTTTTCGGGTCGGGCTTTTGTCGGGTTTTCGGGTCATGTCAGAAATTGACACCCCTAAGGAGAGGTATCAATCACCTAGCAATGCCTTGTCAACCTCACAATGGGAAAATTTTACAAAGACCAAGTATTGTGTGACATCATGCCACTCAAAGTATGTCATTTTTTACTATGTTGCTCGGTTTTTCCCTTGCTGGCTGCTCGGTTTTCCTGCCACTGCTTAGTTTTCCCTGTGGCTGCTCACTAGGTTTCCCTGATGCTAGTTGCTCGGTTTTTCTCCTTGTTGATTCCTGTGGAGGATGCTTTGGCTTCTTCTTGTGAGGGCTGACTTGAGTGGTTTTTATTAGTTGTTTTGGAGGCACATTTATGTGATCCAATTAATGCTTTTCCCCTTCTTCTCCTTCTCCTCCTATATATAGTGGCTGAATCTCTATTGTGGAAGGTTGTTGGTGAAATGAAAAAAATAGAGTTAAAACTTGGGTTTCTTCTTAGCTTGCTAGTTGTCTTCTCCCTAATTCCTATTTCTTCCTCTAGGTCTTCTTTCTACTTCGTCCTTTCACGGTTTTTCTTCCACCAATTTCTTTCTTCTCTAAACATTGATAGTTGTAAGGTGGTGTTGTACCCTATTTGTTGGTATTTGTCAGAGGAGCGTCGACCTGTGCTAGATCATAATTTTAGTTATGGGTTATTGATTTGTCCTTTACTTTTAGTAACTTTCCCTAGTTTTTGATTTGCATGTGAGGTAACCAATCGTGGTTGTTCTGTGGTTATTTTAATTTATGTATTTTGTTTTTTTTTTTCATTTTCTCTTGCGTGAATTCCTAACCAGTTTTTCACATTTGTTTCCTACTAAGTTTCCATCATTTGTTGATTGTTTATGTGATATTGAAATGAAGTGTTTTATTTGCATGCCTAATATTCTACTCCTTGATTTAAGAACTTAGGTTGCATCAATTTAGTTGAACTGACTTGTTTAATGTGTTCAAGGTGCCGGCATTCATTTCAATTGGGGATATCAAATTTGTTGAATGTCCTGTGAAGTACTGGTCCTTGTCGCAGTGTTTTCGTGTTATTTTGAGCTCATATGATATATGATTGGACTTTTTCAATAAAACTGGCACATGTCAGCTTTTTTAAAATTGCTTTGAGATCCATGAATTGTGTTGAAAGTTGTGCATGATCTTTCAGGGGTTTTTATGATCCTAACAATATCAAAGCTTAATAAAGAAAGTAGCTTATCAATTTTTTTTTTGTTTTGTTTTTGCTTTTGAATAACTATGCATGTTGCAATTGGTTTCCAAACTTCGAGTTTTTTTGACTGTTAACAATGGCTAAATATGGTTTAGTTTTTTGTGCAACTTGGATTTTCCTCTCCAAGTTTAAGAACTTACCTACATGCCTTTCTAGATCTATGCCTATTTTGCATGAATCTCTGTTCACTTTATGATAGGAAACACTTGGTTTGCAAGTGACCCTAATCCAAAAACAGTAAAAATACAGCAGCAGTTTGCTGTCCACAGCAGGAAAACACAGCGAATCTGCAGTTTACAGCAGAATTTCAGAGGAAATTGGAAAGAAAACTCAAAGCAAGATTTGTATTCCACTAGTAGAAGAAGAAAACAACAAAGATACAATTGATCCTCAATTCGAGAGGAGGATCGATCTCTTCCAAATCTCTAGACGCCGCTAGAGCCCAAAGAAACCTAAATCTACGAGATCTCAAATTTCAGCCAAATTCAAGATACTCAAACCCTAGCCAAATCAACTATTTAATGCATACAAATCAAAAGGAAATCCCAAAACAGTCCCTACATTCAAATTTCCTTCTCAAAACCCTAAAAAACGCTTCCTAAAAAGCTCTATTTGAGCGGACGAGCCGGCCGATCTCCGCAGGAGGCAAAGATTTCGCTGTTTTTGCGAACTACCGGTCCCGCATGGACCGGCTGGACCGGTCTAACACTTTATTCCACATAGTTAATTTTAGTTAAGGATATTGCTGCAAAGAAGTGCTCTTAATCTGTTGCTATATTTGAGATTCCAATTGTTTGGTCAAAAGGTTATGTGTTGACAAAGCAGTTGGAGAGTTCTTAATTTCGTTTTGACAACCATTACTTGATTATTGTTATGAGTTATGAATGTACTTGATGCAAGCTAGTGACTCTTTATATTTTCTGAGACTTGGGCAATCAAATCTCTCCGTGGGTTTCCTGTTTACATGAATCCTACTAGTTGAATAAGATAATTGCTGAGCTTTTCATCAGTACCTTTCATAAGTATCATTTGTGATTGGAACAGATAGTTTTATGTGGAAATTAAGACGCATTAGTTAATGAAGTTGGTTCCTTAATTGTTTCTACATTTTTACATGTATAATGGTCAGTGAACATTTGCATGCATGTAGCATGATTATTGCATATTGAAGTTGTAGAAGTATTGTTTTGTTCATCCTTTATCTGTTAAGTTTTGAGAACCATGAAGAATTTATGGGATAATTGAGTTTTACTGTAGATGCTGTAATTTTTATACTTTTTGGTATAGACATGCATGAAATATCTATTTTTATTTATACTGGTTGAGTTTTCAAAAATGTTTTGCTCAAGATGAAAAAATATTCATTTTAAGCTTTGCTAGACAACCAGTCTGAAATGAGTCTGCAATTTTTGAGATCAATTATCTTTCTTCTTTAAACGGTACTTTTTAAGCAGTTCTTGAGACCCATGATTTATTATGACTTAAGATCCAATTTATTTCAAAATTATTATAATTACAATCTAGCTCCACTTTTCCTACACACGCATCAACGCATCGAAGATGGACTTTTTTCGTTCTTCTCAACATGCATCCAGAACATTGAGCATCCAGAACATTGTAAGTATGAATATTTGTACCTTTGTTTAGTAAATCATATAAGCTGATGACAAGCGAGTTACATCTTAATTTGATGAGTGAAAATTGAAGAGATATCTTTGGGATGTTTGGTTGCCGGATGTTAGCATTTATACATTCTTAATTTAGGCAGTGTGGTATTGTCCATTGGTTGATTAATGGCAATCGAGAGTTTATCACCCACGACTTGGCTATTGATCGTCAATGGTTGGTATGAGATGTACGTAACTGTCATGTTACTTGAAAGGCAAGTACCATGGGAGTTTGTCTTTGCCAGAACACTCCTTCCAGTATTCTCTTGTAGTTCAGGCTGCTAAATTATTGCAAGAGCTCAATATCAGCAACCAAACTACTCTCTATTTGGCCCTTTTGGTGGCATCGTCTTGTCTTCATATGCTTCTCACTGGACTCTTTCAAGAGCATATACCTTTAGGATTCCCTAAGTGGCATTTTAAAATGCCAATCATATTCCTTTAACAATAGGAAATTGACTTGGTGCTTCAATCTTTCTCTAATTTCCCAGTTCCCCAAATTGGCTCGTGTTGTCTGAGTTCTAGTTGAAGATTCTTCTGCTGGAATAGGTATGCGCTTTTCTTCTTTTCTAATGTTTTGAAGCCAAAGATTGGTTTTGTTGTCAATAAGGATTAATTATGGAAATTGGAAGAGTTCATTGTGCTTGATTTAGGTAACTGATGCCTGTGGAGATAGATTATCGTAACTCTCTATTCTGCTGTGTTTTGTAAAATTGATGAGCAGCTTCTATGGTTGTCTATCTTGATTTGGATGCAAAAGGTGAATGTAAGGACGCAGAATTTTAAAATGATTATATCATGCAAATGGTTACCGCTTCATGAATTGACAATGAGAACATTAGTGGTGGTAGCACTGTCATAATTCAAGAAATTTTTTAATGCATCTATTCTCATACTTTTATAATCCTGACTTAATTTCTTTCATTGTTTCCTTTATTTTTATTGCATAAGTTGTCGTGTATTGCTCTTCTGAACTTCTTTCTCCTGCATATCATCTTTGTGATAATAACGTGGCCAAACAAGGACTTTTGCTAGTTGTTTGTATGCCTTGTATAGCCTTTTAACATGGAAAGCTTTTCATTCAAGTGGGAATTCTTAGATGGATTTTTAGTTATAACTAGTGTGAAATTACTAATATGAAAGATGCTGAATAGAAATCCCGTGAAGAAGATGATATCTGGTGATAAAGTGAGGTTTTTTTCTGTTATCTACCATTGAAAGTAACCGAGGTATAGGTGGTGGGGAGAAGTGCACCTCAACCCTCTATGATTTTTACCTCAATTATACTTCACTCTCCCATACTGTTAAAATACTCATATAACTCCCATATGGTTGAATAATTTGGCATGTTACTCCAATATTCAGTCAGTGTCTCATGTGGTGAAGTACAAAATTGATATTTACCCAAACTAAATGATGTTATGTGCATATTTTTAAAGGGAGTGGGGAGGGGCTGGTAGGGGAGTTAGCTATTATTTTTCTCTCAAATGGATCAATATGATCTCATTGGATGCACTTTGATCTTTCAAATTGATTTGAGCCTTGAAAGATTTTGTCCAAGTTCTAGGATTAGGGTTTAGGATTTTTGTTGGAAGTATAGAAAGAAAAAGGGGTTGTTTTGATTTTGTTGCAGGGATAATAAGGGTTATTTTTATTATTTTTTGTGGATGAGGAGATGAGAGGGGTCAAGTTGATGGGGTTTGGGTTCAAGTTGAAGGATTTGGGGAAGGGGTTTGGCTGATTTTACCTTGATGATTCCAATTACGATGCCAATTAATGGAGACATTTGGATGTAAATCTCTTTTTTTTTTCATCCATTTCTTATTTTTTTTTCATCTATATCTTCTTATTTTTTGAAATTCACTTGGTTTCTCCCTGTAAAGGTGAGACAATTGAGTAGAAGAATTGAAACTTGTTGATTGAAGAAACAAGGATGAATTTCTTAGTAATTTGGTTTTCCTATGAGAAATAAGGATGAATTTCTTCTGACTAAGGTAGAGCTTCATGGGAAGCGGGCTAGAGGATTGTGTTTCCATTACGATGAGAAGTTTGCAAACATGCTGTTTTGGGGTGATGATGGGAACAAGGAAGTTGGAAAAGAGTAGGGGCATTTGGTCAAGGTTGATGGTGACACTGCAGGGGATTCATGTGATGGGGTGATGATGGGAACAAGGATGATGGAGAAGAGTAGGGGCATTTGCTCAAGGTTGATGGTGACACTGCAGGGGATCCATGTGAAGTGGAATTTTTTTCCTTTGGAGTTAGGGAGCGCAGATGTAATTTTAGGCATGAAGGGTTGCAAACATTGGGAGAAACCAATGTGGGCCGGAAAGCATTGACTATGAAATCCATGGCGAGAGAAAGGATGGTGAGGATCAAAGGGGATTCTAGTTTGTCCAAAATCAGGATTTTTCTTAAGACAATTATGAGGGCAATCCAGGGAGCATGGATGAGATTCTTGGTGGAGCTCTAGTGCCTCGAGGGACGGGGAAGCATGGAGAAAGAGGAGGAGGTTCTAGAGATTGTCTAGTCACTCCTACAATAATTCAGTGAGGTGTTCCAATTATCTCAAGGTATGTCTCTCTCAAGGGAGCATGAGCATGCCATCATCCTAAAAGAGGGTGTATCCCCTATCAGTGTTCGATCATATCAGTACCCACAGATTCAGAAGGATGAAATTGGGAGACTGATCAAGGAGATGTTGGAGGCCCAAATCATTTGTCCCAATGTTATAGTCCCGTGTTGTTGGTGAAGAAGAAGGTGATAGTTGGATATTTTGTGTAGATTGCTTGGCTCTAAATAAGAAAATGGTGTTAGATAAATCTCCTATATCGATCATTGATGAGTTGTTGAGTTATATGAAGCGGTGATGTTCTCCAAGATTGGTCTGAAATTGGGATACTATCAGATCAGAATGCAGCCCACTGGCATCTAAAAGATTGCTTTCAGGACTCATGAAGACTACTACGAGTTCTTAGTGATGCCTTTTGGGCTTACCAATACCCCATCTATCTTCCAGTCGCTTATGTATAAGGTATTCTAGCCCTTGATTTTCTTCAATGACATTTTGGTGTGTAGCTGATATGAGGCAGATAATGTGGAGCTCTTGAGGGTCGTGTTAATGATATTGAAGGAGCATCAGCTATATGCCAATTTGAAGAAGTATTTTTTTTGGTACAACAGAGTGTGGAGTATTTGGGACATGTGAGTATTTGGGATATGTGGTGTCCAAATCAGGAGTAGCTGTAGATCTTTCCAAGATAAAGACTATGTTGGAGTGACCCTTACCCAAAATCCTGAAGGAATTGAGTGGGTTCTTGGGACTCAGGGTGCTACATGAAGTTTGTGAGCATATATATTTCGGTATTGAAAAAAGTCATGATGAGTGTCCTTGTGTTAGCACTGCCAAATTTCAACCAGCCTTTTGTAGTGGAGACTGATGCATCATGTTATCGGTTGGGAGTAGTTCACATGCGGAGTCAGAGATCCATAGCTTATTTCATAACCACTAGGGCCAGACTAAAATCAGTGTATGAAAGGGAGCTGATGACGATAGTGTTGTCAATACAGAAGTGACGACCTTACCTGTTGGGGCGACCCTTCATAGTAACGACCAAGTGACCAACCAAGATGCATATGACTATCCTGAAGCGGAGTATAGCTTACCACCCCCCGGATGGAGGTGGTGAATAGAAGCGTGAAAACTTATCTTTGTTGCTTTGTATCAGATACACCAAGGATGTGCGCCAAATGGTTAGCTTGAGCGGAATATTTGTATAACACTTCATATCATACAACAACCCAAACAACACCATTTAAATTCTATATGGGCGGGATCCACCTCATATGATACATTATGGGCATGACAACACAACAATGTCATTAGTTGAGTAGTACTTTTGGGAGAAAGAGATCGAATTTTGATAGAATTGAAGGAACATCTACGGAGAGCACAATAAATCATGAAGAAGCAGGCAGATGAACACATGAGAGACGTGTAATTTGAGGTTGGGGATAGGGTTTATCTGAAGACCCGACCTTACAGACAGAGGACGTTGGCTCAACGAAGGAATGAGAAGCTCTCCCCTCACTACTTTGGGCCCTACGAGGTAGTGGAACACATTGGTGCAGTAGCATATCGCCTACGGTTGCCATCGACCTTAGCCATCCATCTTGTATTTTATGTATTGCAACTAAAACTAACTATTGTAAACCACACACCCTTGTTCGAATTAGAACCACTGGAGGTGAAAGGATTTACCAAAGTATGAGGTGACATGGGTGCCGTACAATACCATCCAGAAGCAGTTTCTCTTTTTCCTCATTGAGGATAAGATGACTTTTTGAGAGGGGAGTATTGATGCGGCTGATAGCAACCTAGCTGCCCAGGCGTACAACACCCTGGCTGCCCAGGTGGGGCCCAAGACCTTCTTTATCACCTATAGGAGAAGAGGCTTTGGGGGGAACTCTTTGGGAAAGGGGGGGGGGGGGAACTCTTTGGGAAAGATGTATGGGGCATTTCTTAGGAGATTTGGGCTGTTTAAGGTGGGAGATTATGGAGGTTTAGGTTTTATGTTATGCTTTGAAAATTTTTTTTTTTGTAGTTTTTGTGAGGTCTTTAGGCTCCTAGTAGCTGCTAGGAATTATGGGAGAGATGATTTATCTCTCGAATAGTGAATCAACTTGTATCTTGTCCTACTTTGCTTGGAAATCAGTAAAAACAATTCTCTTGTTGTTATTCCTGGACCTATTTGAAGTAAATTGTTGTTTTTTTATATTGTTGTGTGCTGTTTTGATCATCAAGTCCTATCAACGGCTTTTTGGTTGTCTTTGGTTGCATGTATTAGAGCAAGGGATGTCTAAAAATGGGTTTCATTGAGAGATATTGAGTGGGCACACACAATGGAGGGTGAAAGAGAGGAATATTGTATATTTTTAGGTAAAAATTGACATGGCTTGAGAAATTCTATCAAATTTTACAAGAATTTTGGCAGAATTTTAATATATCACAGTACTCCAAAAATATAAAAAAAATTGAAATTTATTTTTGAATCAAATGGATTTTACTTGTTGCAAGATTATAAAATAATAATAATATTGTCGATTGATATAGTGTCGCCAAGAACTGATCTCTTAGGAAAGTGATCCACTTATGGGCCAGCTCAGTATGATGAGAGGACTAAAAAAAGCTTTCTTTAAGGTAGATTGATTTTACTTAACTTGATTTCTGTCGATGCTTAATATAAATTTATTTAGATCCATGTTTGAAATTTCTGGGTGAAAGTCTCTATTGTGAATCACCCATTTTGATCACGGAAAAGCACTGATTATGGAGGTTGCTTAAGCTTTGTTCTTTGCTCTTGTTTTAGGGCTTGGTTCTGAATTTAGTTATATTGGAAGTGGTTTTGGAATAAAGATAAACTCGATTGAGATCCTATTATCCTGTGATTCTGAGCAAATAAATGGTCTTGGTTAGCCGACATCAGAGGCATCATACCATAATATTTAGGGAGCGTCATTAATAATTTTGATTTTAAAAGCTTCTTAAA